CTTGATGTCTTTATTATCCTGCTACCCACCCACCCACCCATCCATCCATCCATCTACCTCTGCCAGAATAACTTTCCTAAAACACTGCCTATATTATGCTATTCTTCTGTTCAAAAAGCTGTAAAAGCTTTCTGTTTCAAGGACGTAAGTCAAAACTCCCAGTGTTAAGACAAGTAATCTCTGAAAGAATGCATTTGATCCAAGGGACAAGTTGAAGCAAGCAATCTCTGAAAAGACACACTCACCTTGACTGATATGCCCTTGAAACTTTGTGCTGTTCAACTCAGTATTTTGTTTTCTTAATTTGGGTTCCCCAACATATAGACCTGGAGACAAGGATTGAGTGCAAGTAGTTTATGTGTGAGGCGGTCCAGGAAACACTAGTAGGGGACTGTGGAAATGAGACAGGGAAGGGAAGGAAGTCATTGCAGGGTGTGTTATCAAGACAGTAAACTAAGGGCGATTTGAGCTTAATCTTAGTCTGTGGAATTCTGATTGACAGTGTAGATCACGCGACTCAGAGTCATCCCACCCAAGAGGTGAAAGGGCTGGAGTCTTTATCCACCAATTTATGTCAGTCAACGGTTGAAGGCTGCTCCTGTAACGCTAGCCTGCTCTGTACTTTCAGCCTGGGCATGGGCAGAGCAAGCTTCAGTAGCCAGAGAAAGTCCCCTGGCAAAACGTTGCAGGTATTCACAGTTGGAAGTGGAGCCTATGTGCACTGAAAAGTAAGAGGTAAGGGGCTCTGGGCAAGGCACTTATTACACTTAATTTCCATTATCCCACGTGCACTGGGCAGTGGCCATCGGGAAGGCTCTGGGAATTGAAGGATGTTTGCGATTGTGCCTGCGTCCTTGGGGAACTTAAAGCCCGGACAGGAAGATTGTAATAGAGTGTGGCCATGGATGGAGTTGGAAAGAATGGATATTCTTTAATAATTAGAGCTTAGCAAGCGTGTCAGGGGCACGGTGTGATGGAAGTGTGTTGAAAGGTGTGTTGGAACCAGATTATTTTTATAGCCTTCTTTGCCATGCCTGTGGTATTAGTTTGGGAATCACTTTTTTTTGCAAACAGGTTTCCTAGAAAAATTTTAAGGAATTCCAGTTTGCGATGATAGGCAAGAGTGACTTTCTTTTATAAAAGAGAAATGAGTATACATTAAAGTTAAAAATATGGGACTTAGATTCCATGTTTAAGCTTATATAGAAAAACCCACATTTTTTCCCATAAAAGAACTTTATTGTTTAGAATTTTTACCTGGTAGCTTACCTTGCCTAAGCAAATAATAGGAATTTGGTACCATTGCCTTTAAAAAAATTGCATCTCAATCTCCAGCTAGGATAATTTCCGTGTATGGATGTTAGCACTGATTTTTAAATTCCTTAGTTTTACTTATTAGTTTACTGTACCAAAGGTCATCAACTATCTTTCTGCGATCCAGATAAATTGTCTCTGGTGGCTCTGCCAGCATCTATTAATGCTTTTCTAGCAAGCCAAAAAGCAATCTGATTTTTTTTTTTTATAGATTTATCCCTTAGAAATCTGTCGACAGTCACTTCATTTGCTACACTATTCAACTTACATTCACGTCATTCTTTTGTAAAAGTAAACAGAAGTACTGTGTGGTTTATAGAATGGCAGCCACAAAGAAGCCTGTTTACGTGTGAGGTGTTACCCATTTTAAGGTGTTATCCAACACAGATACGTAATCAGCAACTTCGAGACTTGGCTACTTAAGGAAGGACTACTTTGTTTTTCTAAGCACTCACCCACTTTATTCCACGTTCCATTTAGACCAGTCTTCATATGAAATACAATGGTTTGGCTTATTCTGATCTATGTCTGTAATGAGGTGATTACCTTTTTAGTCAAAAGATGGTATTTTTGAACAATGTCTCCTTTTCTGTGTCTGCAGTACATCTTAGTCAATTGTGCTGATTTGGAGGAGTGTATTATGGCCTTGGGAAAGAGCTGACAAAAACTGAGGACGGATATTGCATTTCTTGGTTCTGTACTTAAGGAAACCAGCTACATTCTTCTCTCCCTTTCCCCCAAGGGTGACTTAGTTAGAAATAAATGTGATTCATTTTCGGTAAAAAGAGGGACTGTAAGATGGCCTTGGGTGCAACAATGTCAAAGCATGTGATAAATGAAGAACACAAAGCCAGAGAAAAACATGTTTACGAGGCCATTTTGGACTTGATTGGTAAAAACTGACAAGCCCTTCCCCTAAAGATTGGTTTTGAACCATGAGGGAAATACGAAAAGCAAGAGGAAGAAAGTTACTTGGCCAAACCTAGGAGGGACATTGCTAAATTTGTGTGTTGGGTAAAGGTCCTTCCCCAAATGCCCGAGATTTTGTTAGCACATTCCATCATCTAGCTCCAGGCCCAACTCAGCAGTACAGCTGGGAAAGCATGACACCATGATGGGCCAGTATGTTCAGTGGAGAAGTGCTTTTATTTTTTTATTTATCTATTTATTTATTTGAAATATAGTCAGTTTACAATGTTGTGTTAATATCTGGTGTACAGCATATATATACTGATATATTCATTTTTATTTTTTTCATTATAGGTTATTACAAGATAGTGAATATAGTTCCCTGTGATATACAGTAAGAACTTGTTTATCGGTTTTATATATAGTCATTAGTATCTGCAGATCCCAAGCCCCCAGTTTATCCTCCCCCCTGCCTTCTTACCTGCCTCCAGTAACCTTAAGTTTGCTTCTTATGTCTGTGAGTCTGTTTCTGCTTTGTAAATAAATTTATTTGTGTCATTTTTAAGATTCTACATATGAGTGATCTCATATGGTATTTATCTTTATCTGTCTGGCTTACTTCACTTAATATGACAATCTCCAGGTCCATCCATGTTGTTGCGGGAGGTGCTTATAAAATGCAGGCACCCATTGTGCAAATGATGAAGCAGGAACTCAGCCCCTTGTTTGGAAATGTTTAAGCCTGTGCCCCTTTGCTGCTCCAATCCATGCAGAGGTTATGAAAGTTTTTTTTTTTTTTCTTTAAATGGAGGTGCTGGGGATTGAAGCCAGGACCTTGTGTATGCTAAGTATGCGCTCTACTGCTTGGGCTATACCCACCCCCCAACACATTTTTGAGATAAATATTTTAAAATTAAAAAGTGGAATTTTTTGATTGGCATTACATTAAACCTGTAAGTCATTTTAGGAAGAATTGACATCTTTATACCATTCCGTCATGACAGCCAGGAGCATGGCACAGTTCTGTATATTTAAATCTGTCTTTACATGTCTTGGAAAAATTTGATAATTTTTATCATTGGGGTTCTGCATATTAAATGGATAGTTTATGTTTTTGTTGCTCTTGTGGGTATGATCTATTTTTCAAGTATTCCATTTGGCCACTCTGGGGAAGGAAAACTATTAATTTCTATATATTTACCTAGTGTGTAACCACTTGACTGAACTTTCTTGTTTTGTATGTGTAGTTTCCTTTTTAAAAAATATTTTATTTATTATTGCATTACTTTTTATTTTGGCAGGAGGGGAAGGTGAGTAGGTACTGGGGATTGAACCCAGGACCTCATGCATGCTAACTAAGCATGCGCTCTACCACTTGAGCTATACCCTCCCCCCTGTATATATTTTCTTAATGTCCTTTTTGGTTTTTCATTGGTAGTGTATAGAAATGCAATTTATTTTTGAGTGTTGAGTTTTGCATCCTGTAACTTTGCTGAATGTGTTTATTATAGCAGTTTTATTTTTTTGGTAGAGTCTATAGAATTTTTTTAATATTTAAGATCATGCCATCTGCAAACAGGTACAGTTTTACTTCCTTTCCTATTTGGATGCCTTCTATTTCTTTTTCTTGCCTAATGGCTCTGGTTATGACTTTGAGTACTATGTTGAATAAAAGTGTGGAGAGCTGGGCATCCTTGTCTGTTCCTGATCTTAAAGAAAAAGCTCTCAGCTTTCTACTATGGAGTATGATGTTAACTGTGGACTTGTCGTATATGACCTTTATTATCTTGTGGTACATTCCACCTATACCCAATTTGTTGAGAATTTTTATCACGCAATGATGTTGAATTTTGTCAAATAGTTTTTCTCCATCTGTTGAGGCAATAATATGATTTTTCCCCTTCATTTTGTTAATATGGTATATCACATTTATTGATCTGTGTATGTTGAGCCATTCTTGCATCCCAGGGATAAATTCCACTTGATCATGGTGTATAATCCTTTGAATGTACTGCTGAGTTTGGTTTGCTAATATTTTGTTGAGGATTTTTACATCTATGTTCATCAGAGATACTGGTCTGTAATTTTCTCATAGTGGCACATGAGTCCTTCTTAAGAGGGATTCTGGAGGGTCAGAGTGAGAGTAGGAGGCGATGTGATGATGGAAGCAGATATGTTATGGATTTTGAAGATTCAGGAAGCAGCCAGAAGCCAAGGAATACTAAGGGCACTAGAAGGCTGGAAGACGAAAAGAAATGGCATCTCTCCAGAGCCACCAGCCCTGCAGCATATTCAACTTCTTGCCTCCAGTACTGTAAGAGAATAATACACTTGTGTTTTTTTGTCATCAAATTTGTTACAACAGCAATAGAAAACTAATACACTTCCTTGTACCCCTACAGATTTTTCTCTCTTAAAAAACTACTTGCATTCAAATTGTCCTCTCAACATTTCCTTCTGGGGGAATTCATACTCTAACACGCACCAACTTTGCTCTACGCTCCACCCCCTTTTCTCTCCCCAGGCCAAGTCCATATGTCTTTTCCTGGACAGTTGCTGGAGTGAGTCTCTACCAGCAACTATTGAAATAGTGAACCCACTACCAACACAGTCATCTTTTTTGATTTAATTAGAGCTTATGCTTTCAGTATTCTCTTCACTTGCTCTGCTTATTTCTTTATCATAGCAAGTAAAACAGTAAAGGTATAGTCTGAAAGGAGATGTTGGTTCAAATGAAGTTAAGTCACTCCTGGAAGTTCAAAGTGACTGTGCACTCAATTTGATTTGAATAAAACTCTTATTTTCTTAATGATTTTGAAGAATTTTAAAGCATCTGTTCATCCAGTTCATATATTATACTGTATTTATGAAGGCAGGGGAGTGAGCATCTACTGTATTTGGAAACTACTTACAGAGACAGAATCAGTGACATGTGGCTTGAGTGGCAAGGGAACAGTAAGGGGTGTCAAGTAACAGTATCACTGGAAAAGCTGGAGGGACGGTCTGAGCTAGACTGCCAGGGTCGACTTTCACAGTGAACCGCAGACGGGGCTCCAGGGGCACTGTGGCCCCTACCGCCAGCTGAAGGCGCTTCTTGAGCAGGCTGCTAGTAGAAAAATGCTGCCTGGGAGCCTCCGCTGTGAGCAGGAAGCCACTTCTGCTGACTCAGGAAACGGCGGTGTCAGCTGCTGGCGTTGGAACCGGGCAGCCGCAGTTATGGTCTGCGTCCACAAAACCTGGCCTCTGCTCCTGCATCACTTGGTTCCAAATCCAGCATTGGATGAGTGCATCTATTATACAGAATCGAAATCTCATCCACAATTTTAGTTGTAAGGGCGTCTGGAAAACAGAGCTTGTGGCTTTCAGGTCTCTGTAAGCCAGGAAGGCACAGAAGGGGGCTGGAGCAGAAGTGAGCAAGCCAGTCCGCAAAACCCACTACCCCACATGCTGGCAGCAATATTGGGACAATAAGAAGGAAAAAAGCATTTTGTTAAATGTTCCTAGGACTAGAAAACTGCATTAGGTCCAACGGCCCATTCCTCTTAATTGTGATTAATACTCTATTACTGTACTTTTTATGTAGCAATATTGGTTCTCCTTTGCTTAGGCTAGTATTTTGGTAAGAAGCTTTAGTGAGCCCATTTTTAATATAAACTGTGTCAGGTCACAGATTGCAAGTTCTGCCTTTTATCTCTTCATGTGTCAGCCGCAGTGTTTCAGAGCCTGGGGGTGTTGGATAATACTGGCTGATGATCTTGAGCCTTGATTCCATAACCAAAGGGGAAAGTTCGTGAATTAATGTAGGAATTTTGTTGAATTAGATCCTGGGGCTATTAAATTTGGAATTCTGCCCAACTACAGTAATTCTTCTGGGCTATTGCTATGCTGTGAATGCTTTGAGCATCCAGAATCCATGTTCAGGGGAAAGGAGGAGGAAGTGGTATGCTTTGGAGAGATGTCTGCATGAAGTTCTGTTTCAGTGAAGCTGAGGAACGTTGATGGAGGTGCTCACGATTTTTCCTTTCTCGTCTCATCATGTTTAATTTGCTGAAAGGTCTAGTTCCACTGGATGCTACAGTGGGGGAAAAGCAACAACAACTGTTACTCATTTCATGGTTGTTTTGCCTCTGCTCCCCGTGGAAAACATTGGGAGACATCTGATAATTTTAGTTTTGTGAAAATAACATTTTAAAGGCAGATGGTGGTAGGCTTTTATAATTTTATCCCTGGCTTTTCATGCATGCATCTTCAAGGATTTTTGGATTGCAACTAGAAACCAAAACATAACTTTAGGAACATAGTTTAGCCATCAAATGGTTTTGAAAATAAACACTCAAATACGACTTGTGAAATGGCGTTCTTAGAAACAGCTCTAAGAGCAAGATGTTTCTTTTCAGGGAGCATCATCAAAGTTTGTGTCTTGCAGTATTTGGAATAACCATAGGGGATGTTGGCAACTCATCAGCAACATAAAATAACTAACATCTGGAAAGGTGGCAGCCGTGGGTTGGAAGGCTACCTCATAGGGTAACAGGTATGCAAGGTAACTGCTGGGGATCCTCTCCCTCCTCCCCCTCCCTCCCTCCTCCTAGCCCCCTCCCTGTCGCTGTCACAGAGAGCATGTGGCTTACAAAGCCTGAAATGGTTACCCTTGGAGAGAGAAAGTGTGCAGACCCAGATCTGGAAACCCTGCTATTCAGAGTGCTGTCCGAGGACCAGCTGCATCAGCGCCACCTATGAACGGACTACACGTGCAGATTCTT